TACAAAAAAGTTTAACAAAACCAATAAAAGCATCAAATATTCATAATGCCAATTCTAATGCGTTTCATTATAATAAATTTAATTAATCTAATTTAAACTATAATTTTATTCTCTTGCTATTTACCCAGGCAGTTATTTCAGCGTAAAACCAGTTTTCGCGGGTTTTGGAAGCCCCATCCTGCTGGTTCGTGCCACACAATGCCCTGTCGAGTTAATTACGATTTTTCATGGCCATGCTCTTTCCGGCATAGATAACATCAATATGTGTGGCTGTACAATAAAAATACATTATTTGAAGTAGGTAGGTACATTTTTTACTCGTCTATTATGTAAGGCCAGCTTTTGCCCGCAGCTTCACCCACATGAAATTTAGTTTGTCAAAGATCGACATAAATTATAGCCTATATGTTATTCTGGGTTATAAACAATAATATTGTAAAGTTTCATCAACATCCGTTCAGTAGTTTTTGCGTAAAAGAAATAAACATCCAGACATCCCGACATCCAAACTTTTGCATTTATAATATTAGTAGGATTTATCCAGAATCGTACGAGTAATATGGTTAAGAAATAGAACTAAAAATTCAAAGTGGCCTGAGAAGAAGATTTGACATTAAAATCCATGCTAATAATGCTGAAAATATAGTATTGATGGTTGTAATAAATCGACCCACTAAAATAAAATTACCCATTTACATTATCGAAATCACCGACCACTAAATTAGCAACTGTCAATAAATATTAAGTTAGCGCTCAGTTATTTATAACCGATTGTTGAGAGCAAGTATCGTTTACAGAGATCGCAAACATAATTTACAATGCAAATGCAGGCACGCTGGGAATGCAACACTGCCAATGATTTAGGTACTGTTAAACCTCAACCAGTTAATAATATTACTCTCATCACTTTGAACTTTATTGCCTTGCGATAAGATCCAAAAACAACGAAGAATTAGAGCCTTCCTGTTCGATTAAGGGTTAAAAACAAAAACTACGACGCTTGCAGAGGAACGTCTGGCAAAATGAACAAGAAGAATCTATTTTAATTAGAGTTTATGCATTTGTTTATTAATGTTGGTTAGTAAAGGACAAAATGCGTGAAATTAATGCGGCATTGGACTTCAGTTAATTTTGGAAAAACCGTGCATATACATCTAGTAAGTTAATTATTTTTCTTTCTTTCTAATTGCCATCTCGGAAGCATGTGATATGTTGAACTCTATATTTAAGTATTAGCGGCCTTTTGACTTGTATTCGGAGTCAAAATTAACTCCACCTTTAACAGTAACTGTTATCCTAAATGTTAAGAAATTAGGTAAGTATTACTTAAAGGAGTTCGCGTCGGTACACGTGTTATAATTATTACATTAAAGTACTGGGTATATTTTAATAGGTGTATGTGACATTGGTTGTTCAATTAAATTATGTAGATACGAGTAGGTACTATGTCAAGGCTTGTCTTTTTCCATTAAAACCTAAGACCTCGATCAGTGCACAAGAGTCTTTATACATCTATAATTAGAAAACTGCCTATTATATCTAGTTCTACAATATTTATCTACATATAGGTGAATGTATAATGGCGTAAAATCTGCATGCGCTTAGCATAGTCATACAGATAAAGTTAGTCTAGCCAGTGTCTATTTTATAAATACAAGTCTTCGGGCGGATGGAACTTATTTAATATGCAGCATCTATTACTTGCCCAAGCTAGGTCCCGTTACAGCAAATGGCCTCCTAAGAAGTTTGCCCGCCGTGGTTATGTCAACAGGACCACACAAGCACAAAGCTTTTTGCAAACAAACATGTCACGGATTCTTTTGAACTTTACTGTTTGGAAAATAGAGGTCAGATTTAATAGAAGGAACAGTGTACCAACAGCTGCAATATCGATCTAGTCATATCCTATTGTTGAATAGGTACTAGCCTTTGAGTCTGAGCATAAAATTCAAAGAGTGGGTGTGGCTCGTGTACCTACTTGTATGGCTTCGTGCACGTTGCAGTTCTATCGGTATATACGGGTCATTCATTTTATAGGCAGACAGTGTTGACACAGTCAAGGTGAATAACCACCTGTTCTGATATTAGTGGAAGTGCTGTAGGCAGTTGCAGATCGGAACCGTACCTTTTGCATACCTTTACATTATGGTGATTCACTCTGTTTCCGCGTAGGAATAAAAATGATTACGCAAATAACATTTAGAAAATAGGAAGTATAACTCCTTAATTTGTTAATTGGCCAATAAATGGACAGAGTTGTGACAATCCTAAAGCGTCTGAAGAACAAGGCCAGTGGACCAGACAGACTGCGGAAATATTTACCGTCTACGCAGATACTTATACTTCCGAATCTTTCTCAGAGCAACTAAATGAGAACTAGTACACTGAAAGTAAATTGTAAGAAGTGAAATTTACCGCCGAANCTCGGTGTGTCTAAACTCCCGCAATCATTTGGGTCTCAACAGCAACGAACTATTCGCCTTCTAGACGACCGTCTCTCGAGCGGTCAATTTGGTGATGTTTTAAGCTTTCGTCCTGAGTTCCCTGAGGAGGTTCCGTCCAGGTTGATCAAACGCGATACACTTTCCTATTTTATGCGTTTGATTGATTCGATGGGCATTTTATCGCCATTTACTATTCACGGACGAATCCTCCTCCAGGCTACCTGGACAGCCAAGGTTGGCTGGGATGAGGCCTTACCCAGCGACCAGTTGAAGCTTTGGCGAAATACTGAACCTTCGTCAGCTCTAAGTAAAGAATGCTTTCGAGAATTTAAGAACGTTGATAGCATTCATGTAACGGTAGATACGTCTATTCCGGTCGTAGCAGATTCAACGCGTTTTTCTGTTTGGCTGAGATTTGTGCGCGCGACTGCTCGCGCGCACCAATTTATCAAAATTCTTAGGAATCGAATAAATTCAAAATTAATTTCGACTCGTTTGGATAATCTTTTAAATCATCATTCACGACGTCCATCCTCATCTTGTCATTTCGTGAAGCTTTTGAAACCTCTTGAAGCCGAGGACTTGCTGAGGGCTGACCAACATATATTCAGGAGTTACCAGAAGGAATCCTTCTCGGAGGAATATGAGGCACTGCAAAGGTCTGTCCCAGTTGAAAAGCGGAGCCGATTTTGGAAGCTCGCACCGTATATGGACAATGAACATGCAACATTGAACGACTCCGCGGTCGCATCGATAGCTCCAGTTTCGACAAAGCGTCCCATGCTCCTGGATGGCCGGCATAGAACTGTACAGCTTATGTTAAGACATCATCACCACCAGAAAGCTGCGCACGCCCAACCAAGACTTGTGATGAATGCAGTCCGTCAAGGTTTTTGGGTGCTTTATCTGCGGGCCTCCATTCGATCCATCGTCTTACAGTGAGTCTGGTGCATTCTTAACAAGGCGAAAGCCATGACTCCGCCCATTGGAGACCTACCTCCGGAAAGACTAGCACATCACCTACGTCCTTTACTTACGTGGGGCTAGATTACATGGGTCCAGTTCAAATCACAGTGGGGCGAAGGCATAAGAAACGTTGGATCACACTCTTCACCTGCTTGACTGCGAGAGCGATCCATTTGGAGCTGGTGGCCAGTTTATCGACAGACAGCGCGCTCGTGGCGTTGGAGGCGTTTTATTGCACGACGCGGCGCTCCATTGAAGATTTTTCCCGACAGTGGGACGGCTTTCGTCGGCGCTTCCAACATATTGAAGTCCATGGCAGAAACTGGAGCCAACCCTGGCATTTCTTGGTCCTTTCAACCGCCAGTGGCTCCGCATATGACGCCCCGTAGAGACTGCCTTGTATGCCATGCTCCGAGAACGTACGCCCAAGGAAGAGCTTTTATTCACAATAGCCCACTGCAGAGATATCAGCCGACCCCGATTGCCCTGAAGCCCTTACACCGTTCATGCCATCTTAGGTGCCTCATCCCCATTCCATCCAGGCTGATCCACCTGTCGGTGCACCCCTAGAGTAGTGTGGCTTCGCCACAGGAGGGGAGGATGTTGGGAACCGATTGGTGGACCAACCTCTTTTTTTATATTGTCTATGTTTTTATACTTTTTTTTTATTACTTTTGATACCTTTTGTTTAGTTTGAAGTTGGATTTTTTTGATAGCCGTTGTGGGCATTTTATTGCTGAAATACATCTTCATTTTAACCGAAGGTTTTTCTTATTTCCGCACGCCCGAGCGGCTGTCCGTTCACAGGCACCTTAATAACTATTNAGAAACTTAAATAAATGCATTATTTGTTTCATAACTTACATTTCAATTATCATAAATAATTATTTAAAAACCATCTATCAAAATATTATCCATAATATCCTTGATTCGGTAGTATCACGAAACAGGGGACACCCGAAAAATAATATGTACGCTATTTCGTGAGTCAATTAATCGCAATTTTAAAGGAATTCTACGTTTTCATATAACTTTTTTCTAAGCCAAATCAATTGTCAAGGAACACATGAAACCACTATTACAAGTTTTATGCAAATGGACGTTTCTTCGCCTCTTTATAAGCTTAAGAAGTTGGAGCGCTAACCTTACGGTGAGAGCAACATTTTCACGCCGCACGGCTGTTTTTGGCTCTCTGAGAGTTTGAAGCTTCGTATTGCTCTCATTTTTGGCGCCACAATGTTGGTACTTGGTTTTTTAGATAGCTTAAATAATAGAGTTTTTATAGTAATAAAGAATTTTTATAAATAATATTCCATTTGCTTATTATTTGAGCTAGAAAAAAAACTTACGAACTTACGTACTATCACGAACTAGTAGCCGTTTACCTTAAGTTAATTCAATGCGCTTGCGCCGAATCAAATGTAACAGGTGGCAGGCCTTGTGCGCTTATCAGCAAAGCGTGGGAATCATAGATATTCCACTTATTTAGCTTCCTACAATAAATTACGTATTGTTGCTAAAAAAGGAGTTTTCGAATGTAGCAGAATGTTGTTTGCCTTGCGCTAATATCCGTTTTATTCCTTGTTACAGATCAGCGAAGGGGAGGTGGCGCCAGTTAATTCTTTGCTAGCAGGATTCTACCTACTGGCTGGACCTTTTATTTCCGCTTTAGCAAACAAGTAAGTATCTATTGTCGCTAAAAATACAATAGATCATTATGATTTCATTGCGGTCGTATTCTTATTCGTCCAAACTTACTTTCAGATATGGCTTTCGAGTGGTGACTATTGTGGGAAGTATCATATCAAGCGCAGCCTTCGCTGTCTCTTTCTACGCAACCAGTGTGGAATACCTCTATCTCGTTTACGGTGTCATAGGAGGTAAAGAATTGCCTTACTTCAAACTATAGACAAAACTACTTATTCAAAGACAACTTATGACTAATATTTTTTTTTTTACTTTCAGGAATTGGTCTATGCATGATCTACATGCCAGCTGTGCTAACTGTGGGATTCTACTTTGAGAAATGGCGCGCTCTGGCCACAGGCTTGGCTCTTTGCGGCTCAGGAGTCGGGACCTTCGTAATGGCTCCACTAACGGATACTTTGAACAAAACATACGGTTGGAGGATAACAGTTCTTGTTCATGCAGGTATTTATTTCAATAACACTGGATTGCATGAATGCTATCAGAAATTGTTCATCAGAGATATGATTCTAACAGTTGTTTTCTTCTTCAGGAATGCTTCTTCTTTGCGTGGCGTTCGGCAGCTTGTTCCGACCGATTAACCCAGTTCGTGTAACTCTCGCTGACCAATCTGAGGAGGAAGATGCATCACGCCGTCACGAAGAAGCTGTAGAAAAACTCAACTCTATGCTTAAACTGCACAATAAATTTGACTCGGGCATATCTATGCCGCCAGAAATGAGGTTTACCAACAAAGTAAGCCCGCACACGTGGATGGGAGTTGCGAATAACACCCGGTACCCCACAGCCGAAGAAGTATTCCGAGGTAGCAGCTCGCACTTGAGTCAGTTTAGTAGGAGATCTTCTGCCACTGCTGGTGCTATAAAGAATACCCTCGGCAATAAACCTCTGTTCATCGACGTTCCAGTCGCGGAGAAGGATGAGCAAGAAGACTCCAACAGTAACATTGACAATACAGAACCGCTGCTCGAGTCCGCTATCAAAGTCGTGACCAGACACCCGAACTCTCGCCGCTCACACGCTGATTTGGCCAGACCATTCTACCGTGATGATATTTTCTTCGGTGCCAGTTTGACTAGATTGCCCCAATATACTTCGCGTACATCTCTCGGCTACCATTTGGCTGTAACTCATGTCCCGACTAAGGAGGACGCGCAAGAGGAAGAGTCAGACACGTGTCGGGTTTGCCCCGAGGCTATGAGAAGGGCATTAGCCACAATGTTAGACGTCAGTCTCTTCCGATCACCGACATTTGTAATCTTAGCTGTGAGTGGATTTTTCACGATGCTGGGATTCTTCGTGCCGTACATGTATGCTAAGCAGAGAGCACTTGACAACCACGCGAATGAGGCGTCGAGCGATTGGTTGGTGTCAGCAATTGGAGTGTCGAATATTGTCGGTCGTATCATGTGTGGATTGATGTCTTCGATGCCGAAGGTGTCTCCTCTTTGGCTAAACAACATCGCATTGTCACTTGGCGGGATCGCTACAATGCTCAGTGGCCTCTGCTACCACGATGCTTACCAGTTTGGCTACACGGTTGTCTTCGGTCTAGCTGTTGGTAAGTTCAAGATAATTTGCTATTATTATATTGAGGACTACTTATAAAGCTCTTGTACGGGGGCTTTCCCTCCATCGATTTTCGCAAATCTTTATGGCACGTCCCGCGGTCTAAAATACCACCATGAAATGAAAAACAATTCTGATACCAAAAATACAGTATTTCATAAATTTATTTTTTCTTGCAGCTTGCTTCGCGTCTCTTCGGTCAATCCTAGTGGTTGAATACCTAGGCTTGGAGCAGCTCACAAACTGCTTCGGACTTTTCTTGCTCTTCCAAGGACTCGGCGCGTTACTGGGCAATCCAATTGCTGGTGAGTTTTGAATAACTGTTGTGCATTTTAGTCTATACGCCTATTAGCTGATTACTCAATAATCATGAGGGCACTGTACGCATGACGATCGGAATTTGGCACTGAGCCTATCTTAGTCGCAAAGGGCAGTGGTCAGTCGGCGCCAAACATTATGCAAGCGGTTTCCAATGACATGTTAATTACCGCATCATTTGTATTGATACTTGCGTAGGTAACTGTTTAAGGTATTGGCAGAGACGAACGACAAAAGTTTGATAAGTTAGGTATGATGTAGCTGACCACAAGTTCTTAGCAGATATTAATGTTGTTCTTTTCTGATTTTCAGGTATTTTGTACGACCAAACGAAGAGTTACGACATATCATTCTACGTATCAGGCGGCTTCCTCCTGCTGTCGGCCGTCATGTGCTACCCAGTGGACATGGTCAGCAAATGGGAGAAGTCGCGCAAGAAACAAAACAGCTCACCAAAAGTGTGATCGGTCAACGCCTGAACGGAAAGTTCACTGCGATACTGAACTATATCTGGGTTGAGAGACATTGGTGCCAAAAAACCCTAAACAGTGCATCTATTCTGGGCTGGGAGTAACCTCCCGATGTGCGTACGATTTCTTTGACTGGCATTCGACGTAGCTTCACTAAACAGCCTCTGCGAAATGGACTTAAAACTTTGAATGCGAGCCTTAGACGCCTGGATAGATGCCAACGTCCTTTCCTATCCGTTTACAAATTTACAAGATGTACAAAGTAGTTATATTGGTAAGGAAATTACAGTGACGAAGAAACCTGTGAACGAACCTCGAATATTAAACTAAATGTAAATTGGAAAACATTCCCGTCAGTGACCCTTTGACAAAACTGCAATGGATTGCTATAGCAATGGCTCAGATAAGTCAGAATAATGCATTTAAAATAGGTTTAGATTAATAAAAAGTACAAAGACTCGAAAGTGTAGATTATTTCGCAGTTTTGTCGAAGCTGAAACAGACACGAAATGATCTGAAGCCAAAATGTACTTTAATATTGTAAAGTACTTATGTGTTACTTGAATTATGTACCTAACTCGTGTAACCTAACCCTTAAAGCGGTGCATAATGTAAGACTCTTGTTATACATTTTATTTTATTTTAAGGTATTGCATATCAGAATGCATGAGTGATTTTATATGATTGTATTGTAGTTAATGTTTGTGCCTTATTGTACGAAGTGATATATTTGTCTACGAACGATCGTAGTTAATTTTATTAATATTTTGTGAGAGCCTGTTTGGATTCATGTTCCGAATGCCATTGTACTCTATTTACGATGGCTTTAACAGACTTTTTCTTTAACATTGGTCGTAACTCTTAGAATTAAGTGCTACAATTGTGGCTGTGGTCTTTTAGTAGGTATATTTTACGTTGTATCTAAGAAATCATAGTCATTTGTCTCTCTCATAAAACTTAAATCTTGACCTACGTATTTCTATATCAACTCAATACCTCTCTCGTTTGTGTTGTAGTTTGGATGTAGATTTTCTTTTCATATTTAACTCTCCGCGCAATTTTGTTTTACTTTTGAAAATACTATAGGTAATTGTTCATCTTAAAATCAAAAACTTTCTATGATTATTCATAATAATTAATTTAATAAACAATTTACGAGAGCCTAATAATAAGTTACTAAATAACTATTAATATTTCCGAGTTTGCAAATTGTGTAAGTATTTATCGAGTTGTAAACTCATGGATGGATTTTAAATTAGGTATTTATTTATTTATACAGGGTCCTTTAAAAGGTTGACTTATCTAAACAAAGACACTAGCCTTACTTTAACAAATGATAAATAAATTTATTACTGCGTCTTCGGAGATGAAAAACATAGACATAGACGCTTTTTATAAAGAATGAATCCCATTAGAATATTTATATGTATTATATTATTTAATCTGGAACGAATCTGGTCAATTCTCGTCGAATTTACTTTTTTTGTAAATACATGCAAGTTTTTTGATAGGTTTGTTGATATAGACTTATTGGCGGTTTATATTTTTTGAGTTGCTAATTTTATTTATTGCCATTTTGGCAAGTATTTGTTGATGGTGACTATGATTTTTTGTGTGAATCAAGAGGAGTATGCACCATCGCTATACAAGTTGTGTTGAGCTGCTTGCGATCTATCAATGATTTATTATTGTGCTGTTTAACTGGTAAACTCAAACTATAGAAATTAAGTATCTAAGCAATACAAAACTTACATCACAGTTAATGATTTTATTATTATATTCTCTCTTTTTAAATTCCGTGCAGATTTCGGTAATTTAATACTTAAATTATTAAAATAAAAATTGAGTGGTATTGAAATTGTTAAAAGCCATGGCTGTTTTTGTTAACGTACCTACACTTACACGCCTAACGAAATATTAAATATCTATATTATTATTGTTGTGAAGATTTAGTATTTCGTTAAAGTTTATAGGAAGGTACATACCTACTATAAACTAAGACCCTTGGGTGGGTGGGTCTTTAAGTTATAGTTTCCCATTGTTGAGCGGTCTAAGGTCTAAGATCTTGGTAGAGCAAGCAGCCGTCCTCAGCCTTCGGTGATTTGGTGCGAGCGAGTGAACATTTGACCAACCCCGAGGTTATTTTTACTCTTAGCCACAAAATCGTAATTGAATAAACATAATTTGTTGACAACTGTTGTTTTACTGTTCCTACAATAATTATAGGTCGGTCCATCCATGCCCACAACTAATAAATATGTCTCCTGCGGAAATTATCCCGTGAAAATCAATCATCAGAATCATCATCATTGTCGGCCGTTTGGTGTATTGGTTCAGAACGTGCTTCTATGCCAAGAGGTCCCGGGTTCGATTCCCGGCCGGGCAGAAATTGAAATGATGAATTTTAATTTCTGTGACGGGTCTGGGTGTTACTATGTATAATATGTATGTATTAAAAAAAAAGTATATAAGTAGTATATCCGTTAAGCTAGCACCCATAACACAAGCATTAAGTTGCTTACTTTGGGGCTAGCTGGCGATGTGTGAAATTGTCTAAAGATTTATTTATTATCTACACTCAAAGCACTTAAAATTTTTGACTATTCCACAAACAAGTAGTTACTATTTAAATAATTTTCTAATATTTATTCATTTAGAACATTAGTTTTCCGCGAGTTAGGTTTTCACATTCATTCATTTAAATAAATAAATAAACATGTTTTGTTTCTAAAATTATGTTTTAGGGCAGAAACTGCGTTAAGCGGGCCTCCCGGCGCGGTTTCATATGAAAGTACCCCGCGCGGGTGCCCGCGACGGAGCACTTTGTATGAAACCGCGCCGGGGCCCGCTTAACGCAGTTTCTGCCCTAAAGTTTTGGCAAGTTAGGTTATCGAAAATGTACGTTCCCGTGGGTTAGGTAAGTTTACCGTAAGTTAGGTTTTCAAAGTTATGTTTTCGCAAGTTAGATTTTCGAAAGTAAGGTTTCGCAAGTTAGGTTTTCTAAAATTAATTAGTCTATCACAATATTTTAAAGTAAGGTTTCGAAGTTATGTTTTCGTGAGACAGGTTTTCTAAAAGTTTCGTTTTAGGAAAGTCAGTTTCAGTTTTTTGCAAGTTTCTTTTCGAAAATTATGTATTTGTAATTTAGATTTTTTAAATAAGGCTGTCGCCAGTTAGTTTTTCGCAAGGAAATAAACAACATGTTCCTGCAAGTTTTTTTTGAAAATTTGGTTATCGTAAGTTAGGTTAACGAAAATGTTTTGCAAATTTGGTTTTCAAAAATTAAAGTACCTATTATTAGTTAGGTTTTTGAAGTCAGGTTTTTGCAAGATTGGTTTCAAAAATTGTTTTCACAAGTTAGGCTTACCGTAAGTTAGGTTTTCGAAAGTAGGGTTTCGCAAGTTACGTATTCGAAAGAGTTTTCGAAATAGGGTAATTGTGCCGGTTTTCCGTCCAGCTNCCTCGCATAACCTAAGTACCATACGATGGACACGTATGATACTTCTTCTTCTTCTTCCTCGGTCCTGGGATCGTGACCACAGATAGTGTTCCTCCACAGGCTGCGGTCATAAGCTGTGTGGACCGCACGATGCAAACTCCCGCCCACCGTCTTCCTCACCGCGTCCGACCATATTTTTATCGTCAGTGCCCTGCCCCGAGCGCGTCCCCCTTCATACTGTATGATACAGAACATTGTTGTGTGTGCAATAAAGTCTTTAAATAAAATAAATAAATAAATAAATACTTAGGTTACACAAAAAGTATCTTTATCTTCGAACGCAACCAGATCTGAGGCTGGTGGCCATAGTAAATGTTGTTCGTCTTGGTAAGACCTTTCAAATGACACTACAAACATAACTATTGAAGCCGGGTACCATTCTGCAAAAAAGTATGTATATCTTCGTACACAACCAGATCTGAGGCTGGTGGTCATATTAAAAGTTGTACATCTTGGTAAGACCTTTCAAACGATACTAGACACATATCTATTGTAGCCGGGTACCAATTTGCCCATTGTCCTTTGGTTTTCAAAAATTAAAGTACCTATTATTAGTTAGGTTTTTGAAGTCAGGTTTTTGCAAGATTGGTTTCAAAAATTGTTTTCACAAGTTAGGCTTACCGTAAGTTAGGTTTTCGAAAGTAGGGTTTCGCAAGTTAGGTATTCGAAAGAGTTTTCGAAATACCTTACTTGCGATAGTTCGATAGGTTCGGTAGGTTTTCGAAAGCAAGGTATGTTTGACTAAGTAGTTGGGCTTTCGAAGTTATGTTTTCTAAAAGTTTTGGTTTCGAAGTCAGGTTTTTGCAAGTTAGTTATCAAAAATTATGTTTTCGCAAATTAGATTTTCCAATATTTCGCTGTCGCAAGTAAATTTTTTGCAAGAAAGGTTTGCTAAAATAAGTTTTTTGTAAGTTATGTTTCGAAGTTAAATTATGTTTTCGCAAGTTAGGTTTTTTAAAACTCAGGTTTTTGCAAGTTTAGAAAACTTACCGTAAGTTAGGTTTTCGAAAGTAAGGTTTCTCAAGTTAGGTTTTCGAATATCGCAAGTTAGGTTTACGAAAATATTTTGCAAATTTTTCGAAAATCACAAGTTTGGTTTTCGGAAAAATTTAAATTCCCATCAGTTAGGCTTACCGTAATTTAGGTTTTCGAAATCGAATAAGTTAGGTTTTCGAAAACTATCGCAAATTACATTTTCGAAAGTAAGGTTTCGCTAGTTGGGTTTTCGAAGTTATGTTTTTGCAAGTTAGGTTTTCGAAGTTATGTTTTCGCAAGTTAGGTTTTCTAAAACTCAGGTTTTTGCAAGTTTAGAAAACTTACCGTAAGTTGGGTTTTCGAAAGTAAGGTTTCTCAAGTTAGGTTTTCGAAAGTAAGGTTTCTCAAGTTAGGTTTTCGAATATCGCAAGTTAGGTTTACGAAAATATTTTGTAAGTTTTTCGAAAATTAAAGTACCTATCATAAGTTTGGTTTTCAGAAATAAGGTTTTTAAATAGTACTTGTTTGATTTTCGAAAATTTAAATTCCCATCAGTTATGCTTACCGTAATTTAGGTTTTCGAAAGTAGGGTTTTATAAGTTAGGTTTTCGAAAACTATCGCAAATTACATTTTATTTTATAAGTTATGTTTTCGCAAGTTCATCATCATTTCAGCCATAGGACGTCCACTTGACTGCTGAACATACAAGTTAGGTCTACCGTAAATTAGGTTTTCGAAGTTATGTTTTCTGAAATTCTGATTTTTGCAAGTTTGGTTTCGAAAATTGTTTTCGCAAGTTAGCTTTTCGAAAAGTAGGCTATCACAATTTAGTTTTCTGAAAAAGGTTTTTTCAAGTTACGTTTTGTACAATTTGTGTTCCCGCAAATTAGGTTTTCAAACAAAGCTATCACAAGTAGGTTTTCGCAATTAGGCTGCCGCAGGTTAGTTTTTTGCAAGACAGGTTTCCAAAATTATGTTATCATATGGTAGGTTATTCCAAGTTTAGTTTAAAATGAAAATTTTAAACAATAGGTTTTCAAAGAGGCCACCTTCAGCAGACATCACATTCCGTCTACGTATACGTAAAAAAACATTTCAATCTTTAAGTCTTGCCACATTCTCGCTGTTCTTATTGACAACACTTATTAGTCTAAAAATTATGTTCTAATTTATAGACCTGGATAGTTTGAGTAGTCCATGAAGATTGTGTGCGTCATGTGCATTTTCGAAGAATACTAACTTTCCAAAACATTGTGTACAAAAATATTGACAAACATCTTGCCAAAATCTGTGATAGATAGGCACTTGAGATAGGCACTATACTAGAATAGTATTTTAGAAAGCTACATTTATTTGGATAAATGATAATGTAAGTAGTATATAAAAAAAAACTGGTAATAATTAAAAATGAAATAGCAGGTTTGGGCAAATAAGATGTTATATTTGCATATTATTTACAAATAATAAACCTACGAGTTGGAGTTGGGTCCACGGCGACGGCCGAAGGTCTGCACAACATTGACGAATCTGAAAATAATAACAAAAACATAAGTAAGCTCTCATGTGATTAATTTATGCTGAGGATGTTCGGCGTTTCGGTTCTTTCGAAAACGATAAAGTGCGAACTTCCTATAAAATAAATAACCAAACAGATCACAAAGGTTTTCTATGCCCTGCCAATTATGATTCTTCCAATAAACTGGGTATGAAATATTTGATTATTTACAGCAAATGTTTTGAAGAAAGATAAGAGGTAGTCCAAATTGTGTCCTAAATGGCAAAGCAATAACATCTGAATAATGATTTACAATTACATCATTACAGTGTTAGTCTGTATCATTAGTGTACCCTTCGACACGAAATCAATTAATTTATGTAAAAAACAATTACCTTCTGTTGTACTGGATCCTACGCTTGGCACGGCCAGTCTTCTTCTTCTTCTTTTGCTGTTTCTCCACTTTGGGGGTCTGACCTTTGACCTTACCTGAAAAAAGTATTATTTATTTATAACACATAATTTTTTAGTACAATGAAACCAAAATATCAGCCAACAATGTGTCACCAAATGTGTTTGTAAGGCCCAAATATGAGAATGGCTGGAGCCCAAATCACCCAGAAAAGAAACAGATCATCCCATCACTATGTGATTTTTTAATACCACAATATGGGATTTTTAACACCACTCGTGTGGTGGAGTTTTGGGCTGACTCTGTGTAGGTTTATTGTCGACACGACAAGAACAAGAATACCACAATGACATGTCTATCTACCTAAAGTTATCAGTGTAGTCAAAAAGTTATAAGCCATTCACATTGTTTGTAGGTAACTCCATAAATGCCCAAGTTTCCAATTTACTCTCAGGTACAGCCATATCAAATATGGAAACATGAACAGTAATGATACATTGTTGATTGGCATAGTACCACGCACAGACAGAGTATCTATAAAATAAAACTAATAATTTGGCAATTGCGCCAAAACACAAATATAGATATAACAGAAACTTACCGGCACGAGCCAAGGAACCGTGCACTTTACCACCAAGCAGTGGAACGGTCAGGTCCAATTCTGAGGACGAAAGTTCTGACACCAAGCACGAGTCCTCCAGGGGAGCACCGCAGAGGGAGAGGGTCAGGTCCTCATCCTCAACTCCGGCGAGAGCACGGAGACGGTCCTACAACACAATCAAACAGGTTAACACACCACGAAGGGACATAAAAAGAGATTTTGAAGTCGTGGTCTTTTATAACCTTTCGCGACCAATGTTTTATAGTAATTATTTAACTCTACCTTGATCTGAGCAATGGACTCTTCTCCATTGACGTCCAAGACGTGCGTCGACTGTCCTCTGATGTGCAACTGCATTTTGGGATTTCTGAAAATAAAACACGCAATATTGCAGCGGCGTGGTCTCAAGAGGGGAAGTCACTGTAATCTATTTCAAAAGACAATGCAACAAATCTACACGGTAACAGTAAACTGATGCCACACACGTTATTTTTTGGATAGAATCAAACTGTTCTTACATTTGGAATGGCTCAAAATACAGTAAAATGTGGTATTTTACGAAACTACTAACCTCATCAACCAAATTTGACAAGTAAAAGAAACAAAGATGGCCGCAGCTCTAGACAGGAAATGGCATATACATCACAGATTAAAAAAAAAAATAATGCAATGGTTATAGATACGACATGGTTGAGCTCATTTTGAATTGGCAAAAGACAGAAATCCGAGGAAAAAAGCTGTCAATTACAGTAAAAAAAAAGATTTTTTGTTGGCAAGGTGGCAAAATTGATTTCCACCCTAGAGCTCGTGATTGGTTAGCCGGAAAAAGCGGCTGACTCGCCGACGACGGACGATCCGTGTGATTAATTTCTTTTGCTAAAATGCTAAATAAACACAGTTTTCGTCGTTTATAACGCGACATTTTATCTTCGAATATGCTGTCGCGACTGCTTCGGCAGTTTTTATTTACTCTTACGCATTGGGTTGTGAATGTACTTGTTGCTGTTCAAAATGTTTATTGCCGATTTTGGACAAAAAAGGGCGACTTTCCCAGTGATCAAGGGACAGAGAAGGATATCAAGGTGATATTGAAGCACTTGCCAGACATAAAGAAGAAGCCAAAGCATTTAGTAGTTCTAGCAGACACAAGTGAACATTCATTGCAAAGCCTCGCTCTGGTGGTGATTTGGAGTCTCGTGGCTGGAGTTCCTTACGTCAGTTTTCATGACATCACAGGTAAATATTTATTTCACTAGTTTTAATAATGAAATTGCCTATCTATGAACATCTAACGACATGCCTGATAGAGGGAAATTCAATCTTTCATAAACTTATAAAAGAAAAAAAATCATTGGAATGTTTGGTTAAAAAGGGATTAGGTGGCTTAAATTAATGATACATTCAACTTACATGTGCCTTTTTTTATAATGATTACTGATATGAACAAGAAACTTACCTCATTTGTATTCTAACATTAGAAAAGCAATGAGACACACTTCTTCTCATGCCTATTTCTTAGAATAATTTTAACACAAGTCCTATTCATTCTATCCTGTAAATCTTATTTTTAGAGTAATCATTAAGGAAACGTTAATTTCTTTTCAGGTGAACTCAAAAGCAATGAGGAGAAACTATTTTTGGAAGTAGAAAAATGTAAGAAAGGGATACCTGGTTGCATTAAGTGGTCCAAATTGCCAAATCTAAATGGTTACACTAATGGAACGCAAGCACACACTGTAACAGTCAATATTTTTACTAGTAGTGATGGTAGACCAAAAATTGCACAATGTATAAGTGATATTGCTAATAATAAAGTAATTTGTAGACGCGAGTCGGAGGAATATACAGCACAAGAGTTGGGGGAAGCTCTCGCTGTAATGTACCCTCCTGCCATTCCTGATCCAGAATTAATTCTTTATTCTGGATCATTATGTAGTTCCCATGGGTTTTTACCATGGCAAGTAAGACTCACAGAGTTTGTGCAAGTGTCTATAGACCATTGTATAAACGTTAACAGCTATTTAGGGGCTTTGTATAAATATAATAAATGTGATCAAAGGTTTGGTAAATAAATGTTAAATGTTGAGTAGCAAATGGTAGGCCTAAGTGAAAAGAAATGTGAGTTATTTATTTTATGCTGTCCTTGTTTTAATGGTGTTTACCTGATTGTGCAGAGATCGAAATTTTATATAACTTCTGTTTCCTAGTTTTACATTAAGTAAGGACTATTTGTAATTGATCAAATATTATTTCCTATGGCAAACTTTACATGAAGTGCAGAATGTAAAGTTAACTGTAAGCTAAAATGGGATATTGAAACTATCTTCCATATATTATATAGATTCAATATGTAGAGTATGTATTGAATTAAGAATACTAGTTAAAATTGTTTCCTTAACATCAAACTGGAATGGTGCTTGTACACAATTTAAAAAATGCAATAAATAGTAAACAACTACTTCATTTTGAAAATATTATAGGTAGTTACATAATAGCTGTATATAGTAAGTACAATAATAAATTCTTACAAATGAACCTTGTATCTTTTTAAAAATGTATAGTACCTATCTATTAAAATTTCCATAATTACAAGGTTGAAAAAATAAAAGACAAGAATCTTATTAGTATTATTATTGGAATAATTCATGAATGCTGAAGCACACTAAAATACTATACACAAACGATAGAATATGTACACCTGAAGCGAATGCCCCAACCTGCAAGAGAAAAAATAAAACAATATATCACAGACTTTGACTTACGCATGAGGTCATCCTCTTGATAATAAAACCTTGGCTATATACAATATCGATAAGTACAATTCAAGATAAGAAAGATAAAGAATTTATGTAAACTCTCAGTTTATAAATAACTAACAAAAAAGTAAAATTTCATCCCATTGAAAATAACATTGAATATCTATGTGGGTAAAGTTCAGGTTGATATGATACATTTTCGATGTAAATATAAGAATCACTGTCAGTAACATTGAAAATTTTTTACTCAATATTTTAACAGAGAATACAGAACCCGCAAATAAACTATAGGCCATTTATTATTTCCCTAACTCACTAACCATGTGAAATATCACAGCTAATAACCCTTGATTGGGTTTAGAGTAAAAAATAACACTACTTCAACAATATCTACAGCTCAAGTTCATAAGAAATTCGTATCATGATGGCTGAACCATGAATGATTGTTGGATCTTATTTGCCTGGCCTGGCGAACATTGAAATATTCGTATTTAAATTACCTGTAAATTAAGATTTTAGTTTGCATTATAATTGAAAAAAGTAGTTCGAGTTGACAAAATAGTGACGTCACTATACAAGCAGTATTGCCATAAAAAATCTATGGGAGAGTCGTTTTGACAGTTTTAAAAAGTACGTCAACATTATGAACTAAATCTGCCGTCCCTTAAAATTTGCTGCCCTAGGCTTCAGCCTACTCAGCCTGCTGGTAAATCCGCCACTGGTACGCAAACTATTCTAAATCATTCATGATCCAACCATACTGACACAGAAATTCGTTCGGAACTGACAACGATTGGACAAAATTTTGGGGGCAAATTAGAAATGAATTAAAATACAACCTTTTGCATTTGTAACCTGGTGTTCACCGGCGGTGGCGCGCGTGGCTGCCGCTGCGAGAGCGCCTCCGGTCGTGCTCCCTAGACCGCTCATACCTATCATACTTGTCGTAGTCGCGGCCCGACCTCTCGTGGGAGCGGTCGCGCTTGGAGCTGTCCCTATCGTAAGAGCGCCTGTCCCGCCGGCGCGAGCGCGACGAGTCCCGCGACGCGCGCCGGCGTCCCGACCGAGACTCGTAACTCGTCGACCGCGAACGCTTTGAACGCTTCCTCGGACGATCATCGTCCGAGTCATCCCTATATTTGTCTTTGACTGACTTGTCGTAATCTTTACTCCTGGATGACTTATGCCTGTCGGAATCATCCTTTTTCCTCGATCTTGATTTTTCCGATTTCTCGTAACTGTCGTATTTCGATTTTGAGTATTTGTCTTCTGATTTACGAGACTTCTCCTTTTTTAGTTTCTTTGATTTCTTTTGGGATTCACTAGAACTTGAGCTTCGTCGTTTGCGTTTTTTTGCTTGTTTCGATTCGACTTTTTGTTCAATTTCACTCTCCGAGGAGGTACCATCTGTGCCGGAGGATGAGTCTTGTTCCGAGTCGCTTGAAGTTGAACTTCCTTTGTTTGTTTTGTTACTCTTCTGTGGACTAGGAGTGTGTTCCTTTTTGCTGGATTTCTTTGGTTTCTCCTCGGGGATGACTTCTAGTTTTCTGACGCCGTCTACGCGGTCGCTAGACTTGTGGTTGCTCTTCTTGTCTCTGGACGGACGACGTTCCGGCAGTTTCTCTGGCGTCTCGCTATCCGGTGGAGGGGGTGTTGCTGAATTTGCTGTAACAAAAAGAACAAATATTATACATAGATGTTAAAAAGAATATTCAGAAGGTTTTAAACATTTGAAAGAATATTCACAAATTTTTTGTGACGTCATAGTCTAACATGAAGAATAAATTAATATTCAGCACAAGGTTACACAAAGGTGACAATGACAATAGAGTAACTAACACTCATAACGAAAGTCTTAATATGTAATGACTAATGAAACAAAAATAATAAATTGAACCCTTGAAATACCAAGAACATAGTTTATTACCAATGGGGCATTCTTTACGGCCATTTTGACCAGTGATGGTATCGGTTTCGAGCAAATTTTTGCCAAATCATGAATGCGAGAGCAACAAGTAAACCGTTACCCGTTAACTTACGTTATATTAATACTTCATGACACGTGTTTTGTACGGGATTACATACTCGTAGGTCACTATTGTATACGACTATTGATATTTGTCGTTCACCTTGGACCTAGGACAGGGTAGTGGCGTCACACTGGGTGTTAATCTTAAGAGATCTTTCAAATTAAACCTTTACACGTACGTCAATCGTGCGTTTGCAAGACACTCTATTGGTAACTGATTGTCATTTTTATTTCTACGCGCGCAGTTGTCATACAATTTATAGTGTGCAAACGGACGACAAACGTCCGTCTCAAAACGTCTAATTTGAAAGAGCTCTAAAATTCATTCAGAGGGCTTAGTGTGAGTTTACACCAAACGTCATCACCAGCGAGTGCGTTAAAAAATATATGAAGATTTTAGTTCTTGAAAGTTTCCGCTAGGGGCGCTGTACAACCCGTCATACATTTAATGACACTTTTTTACGCGGTCGACATCGAATGCGTTTGACGTAAACTCACACTACGCCCCCTGTACTTACGCTGCCTGGGCCGCTCCGGCATGGCGTCGTCGCCGGCCTCCTTCGTCCGTTCGNACAAGTTTCCCAGGTATGGTCCCAAAGAAAAAAATGATCCTCATGATGTGGAGAATAAGTAGCCTTCGGCTTCGTGATAGGTTTTTTTACACCCGTTATTTTATGCAGAATTCAAAATTGTTTGTGACGTCATAGCCTAACATGAAAAATAAATTAATATTCAGCATAAGGTTACACAAAGGTGGCAATGACAATAGAATAACTAACACTCTTAACGAAAGTCTTAATATGTAATAACTAATGGCAAGACACTCTATCGGTAACTGATTGACATTTTTATTTCAACGCAGTTGTCATACACTTTATAGTGTGTAAATGGACGACAAACGGCCCTCTCTAAACGTCTCATTTGAAAGAGCTCTAAAATTCATTCAGAGGGCTTAGTGTGAGTTTACACAAAACGTCATCACCAGCGAGTGCGTTAAAAAAATATATGAAGATTTTAGTTCTTGAAAGTTTCCGCTAGGGGCGCTGTACAATCCGTCATACATTTAATGTCACATTTACGCAGTCGACATCGAATGCGTTTGACGTAAACTCACACTACGCCCCCTGTACTTACGTTGCCTGGGCCGCTCCGGCATGGTTGTCCGAGGTGTGGTCTTCGCCGCCTTCCTTCGTCCGCTCGAACTCCTGCCGCTTGCGCTTGGTTGTGTCCTGAGATGATGATACACACGCTGCCTGGGCCGCTCCGGTATGGTTGCGCGAGGTGTGGTCTCCGCCGCCTTCCTTCGTCCGCTCGAACTCCTGCCGCTTGCGCTTGGTTATGTCCTTTTTTTTTTTTTTATCCACAACGAGGAAGCTCTTGGCCTGTATCTCACCTGATGGTAAGTGATGATCAGGCCGAAGGTGGAAGCGAGCTTCACCCGGAATCCTCAACCACGGAGGAACTGGCTATCTTACCTCTAACTGCCGGAACACAATAATGCTGTTAACATTGTTGTTATGGCGACAGACTTAGGTAAGATGGTGGTAGCTAGCCAGGCGGACTTAGAACAAGCCCTACCACCAACCAAACCGAACAGAAAAATCTGCCCCCACTGGGAATCGAACCCGGGACCTCTGCGTCTGAAGCAGGTGGTCTTACCACTAGACCACAGAGGCGGTCCTGAGACGATGATACTCACGCAGCCTGGGCCGCTCGGGTGTGGTTGCCCGAGGCGTGGAGTCTCCGCCGCCTTCCTTCAGCTCCGCGCGGCGCACCTCCGCTTCTATCTCACGCGACGTCCGCTCGAACTCCTGCCGCTTGCGCTTGATTATGTCCTGGTCAACGTTTAGGATATGAAGTTGAAGAATGTAATATGCTTGAAAATACGCTACATGTAAAACCTAACGTAAAGTGGGGATAGTTGGTTCACAAGCAAAAAAGTGCTCTGTCGTATTTATTGGGGAATATTCCATAAAAACATTGTCAAATGGAGCCATTGTTTCGTCAAAATAAATGTTGTGAAAGACGAACTCGGTCTCTTACTCGGTAAACTATACTCAGTAGTTAACTGGCTATGGCTAGAAAAACAAGTCGTGTCGCTTTGGACTGATATAATGAAATAACTATGATTAAACGGAGTATCATTTAAGATGTGATTGATAATATTAAAATGTAAATCATAATGAACATTTCACAAAAGAGCATAAGTTAAACTGTATTTGTATTAGATATCCACAAAAATCTGATGTCCTCTACTGTCTGTACCATCGGCAACAGTGGTAACTATCCATTGCATGTCATGTCGTCTCGTTTTATCGCAAAGAATCACCATTTGATGAGAGCGAGAGCAAAAATGGAAATGGATAGTTAACATTGTGGCCGTGTGTACATTTTGTACGTAAAGCTAAATCCTAGCACCTTATGCAATGAGGGCTATCGTTTTGGCGCTCACCAGTTAGCGCCACTGTAGAGTAAAAGAGGTCCTGTCACTTGCTAGTAGCGAAGACAGTGGCGCCAACTTGTGAGCGCTAAAGTGGTAGGAGGACTATCGTATTTGCACTCATCAAGATTAGATGTACAAGCAACTGTAGAGTAAGGTCCTGTCAATCGCCAGGGGTGCCAACTGTTAAGTATAAAAACGATAGCCCTNTTGCGCTTGGTTATGTCCTGAGATGATGATGATGATACTCACGCTGCCTGGGCCGCTCCGGCGTGGTTGCCCGAGGTGTGGAGTCTCCGCCGCCTTCCTTCAGCTCCGCGCGGCGCACCTCCGCTTCTATCTCGCGCGACGTCCGCTCGAACTCCTGCCGCTTGCGCTTGATTATATCCTGGGAAGATGATGTTGGTATTATAGGAAGCCAACAGCAGTAAGGTTGAAATTGTTGAAAATACGCTACATGTAAATCCTATTACAAGATAAATAGTAAGTCTATTGACAAGCGCTATTGCAAAAAAAGGAACAAGACAGATGTCTTTCTGCCGTATTGATGACGAATACTAAGCGGAGTATTCTATAAAAAGGTTTAGTAAATTCACTAATGGAATTGACGGTTCTATGAACATGTGGTACGAAAAACTACTCCTTTTTGATGGACCATCATACTCAAGAAGGTAAGCTGGCAGGCAGAATATAGAATAGGGGATGGTGTTCATTGAGTTTCCCATCTAACAGTAGGCTGCGATTGGCTGATATTATTCGGTTCAAAAAGTTATTCACCATTCAGTGTAGAAATGAAAGAGACGAAAATGTAAGGAGCAAGTTGAAATAAAAATTGATGTACAGACGGTCTTATGAACAAAGTGCCACCAGTGATCAAAATTGAATATTATTGATTTTGAAGAATTGTAGTTTGATGTAGGACATAAATAATATGCCATACTGACCTGCAGCTGCTGGTCAGACACGTCGGGCTGGTCTTCGTCGCCGCTGTCGTCGCTGCTGCTCTCGTATGCGCCCAGCCCTGCGCAAGCGCACACGTCACACAACGCTCGGCACATAACACCGCGCACGCACTAATGCACCTTTCTTACGAACATTTTGATTCTTATTCGTTTGTGTTAAGGTCCAAAAAGAATGAGGGCTATCGTATTTATACTTAACAGTTGGCACCACTGGCGATTGACAGGACCTTACTCTACAGTGGCGCCATCTTGATGAGTGCAAATGCGATAGTCCTCCTACCACTTTAGCGCTCACAAGTTGGTGCCACTGTCTTCGCCACTAGCAAGTGACAAGACCTTACTCAACAGTGGCGCCAACTGGTGAGCGCAAAAACGATAGCCCTCATTAATTTGAGCGTACTATGCCCGTTATAGGACTTGCATTAATATTGTTGTGAAATGTAAACGGAGATGTGAGATGTTCCCGAATGTTCGTGAAAAGGATATACGATTTAACACGTTTTATCACCCTGCTGAAGATCAGCGCCCTGATCCATTTTCACGAGTAATACTGAGCTTTTTGCCACACTGAACAAAACAATAGAGATGTTTCGAGATTTCTTTTCTGAGCTTTTAGAAAACGTGTTAAATCGAATGCACAATAAGAAAAATAATTGAGACACAAAAATGCCAAAATTATAGGACATCTATAGAAAATTCTGTATATTTTCTTACCAATTATTCCCAATAAACATTGCGGATAAACTGAGTATCACCAATGTCAATACTTTTTTATTTTAACTCAAATTTAGTCGCACCACCGCTGAAATAAAAGGGTTTCAGGTACACGTAGATGGTGGTTTAGATATTGACCACTATTCATTTGTTCTCTTAAAAGAAAACCACCATTTACGTGAACAGGAACTATCTCGCAAAACAGTTTTATGTTTCAACTTTCACGCAACAAATTATCAATAGAAACATTGAGGATGATAAATATAATATTTAGAGTATTGATATAGGTAACATTTGCGAGTTATTTCCACAAGCAGATCTTTAGGAAGTGAACTCACCGAGCCCGGTGGCGATAGCGGCGAGTGCCTTCGACTTGCTCGCCTTCATAGCGTTGAGTCGCGACGCTTTTACCATATAAATAAAACCAACATTAATCACACACCACATGTATTAATTTCTCAACAGGCAACATCTGAAATAAGACTTTATTAGCGATAAATAAAACACATTTCACAACACGTTTCTTGTTTGAGGTGGATTTTATCACAGTGTAGTATCACAGTTTTAGAGTCAGTACGCGAGTGTTTCTCGTGGTATAGAGTAAGGTCTTCGGGCCGTTTTGGCTAAGCCTATATGAGCGGAAATACCTTGTGCGGCGGTATATCGGGCCAACTCTTCCTGGCTCACCATTTGGATCTCCTGATCGGTCACCTCTAGGAGGATCTCGGTCAACGAGCGGCGGACCGCTAACATCTGTTGAAAGTAAAGATAATTTAGTGATCCAGTTAAATTGTCTGAATCAATATTGAACTCTTAAATATAGATTTTACTGCAACTTACTGCAAGTTATGAATCTAATTTCAGTATTTGCATTGCTACTTATAAGTCAGTTAATAAACAAAATAACATAATTCTTGGCGACCCAGTGACCCTTATGCAGTCCTGGATCTGTCAATAGGCCGTATGGGCCGCGGCTTAGGGGCAGCAGATTTCAGATGACGCTTACTCGATTTCAGAAGATAAAAATAAAGATCCAACCCCACCCTAGCCTACGGACGGCAAAACTGTAAATCCGCCACTGCCCTTATGGCATAAATAAATGAAATTCATCGTTGAAACCAAACTGGAAGTGTATGTCTTCTTGATAGATTTCCACGACCGGATCTGCGTTGCTCGCATCCCGGACCTTCGTTGATTATAAGTTATAACATATTATCCATGGTTTTGGTATCAGAGGAAACATAACACAGTTAGCGTCAAATAGTTCGTGACACCCAAAGTTGACAATACTCGCGAGTAACACGACTTTATTCCAATGAGGGCTATCGTTTTAGCGCTCACCAGTTAGCGCCACTGTAGAGTAAGGTCCTGTCACTTGCTAGTAGCGAAGACAGTGGCGCCAACTTGTGAGCGCTAAAGTGGTAGGAGGAGGACTATCGCATTTGCACTCATCAAGATGGCGCCACTGTAGAGTAAGGTCCTGTCAATCGCCAGGGCCGCAGGGGTGCCAACTGTTAAGTATAAAAACGATAGCCCTCATTGACAAGTGAAAATGGTTCCCCGAATGTGGATTACGGGCCCGATGCATGCCGCATTGTAGAAACCACCCGCATCTTGAATCCGAGCTAGACTCTAGTCTAGCTCCCTAATGGTTCAGTTTCAGAGGTTGTTCTAATAACCACTAGTTAGTTTGAGTTAATTGTAAAGAGTAATATTTCACTGTCACATGGTAATAACTGCTCCACACAAGTTTGATACCAACTTAAATTATTTCAACTAGCTTTCCGCCCGCGGCTTCGCCCGCGTGGAATTTTGTCTGTCACAGAAAAACTTTATCGCGCGCGTCCCTGTTTCAAAAACCGGGATAAAAACTATCCTATGTTCTTTCCCGGGACTCAAACTATCTCTATGCCAAATTTCATCAAAATCGGTTGCGAGGTTTAAGCGGGAAAGCGTAACAGACAGACAGACAAACAGACAGACAGACAGAGTTACTTTCGCATTTATAATATTAGTTGGGATACTGACCACTTCTTGCATGATCTCCTCCTTCGTCCGGCGCACGAGCGGCGGCGGCGGCGGCGGCGGCGCGGGCGCGGCGGGCTCCGGCGCCGCCTCTTCCTTCTCCGACTCCTCGCCTTCCGACTCCGACTCCTGGGGGATAAGCATCAAGTTTAGGACGACTAAAGCCTGGTCCGTGAGCACGTAGAATCCCGTCCAATGACCCCAAGCTACCCATCCTTATCGCTCGCGCGTAATTATATCGCTGTCGCGACTGTGCGACGCGCGCCGGCAGTGAGTGTGCGAGCGCGACAGCAACATAATTACGTGCGAGCGACAAGGATGGGCAGCTTGGGGTCATTGGACGGGATTCTACGTGCTCACGGACCAGGCTTTAGGTCCAGCGCTTTAATCAGTGCCTGAGATATGGGAGCGGCACGGGAGGGTGTTTAATTTATGGGATGTCAAACGTCAGCAAGACTTAAATGTGCTTCTGATTGTCTGAATGTCGTCTTCAGAATGTCGCGACTGTGCGACGCGCGCCCGCAGTGTGTCGCGCTCGCACACTCACTGCGGGCGCGCGTCGCACAGTCGCGACAGCAATATAATTACGCGCGAGCGATAAGGATGGGTAGCTTGGGGTCATTGGACGGGATTCTACGTGCTCACGGACCAGGCTTTAGGTCCAGCGCTTTAATCAGTGCCTGAGGTATTGGAGCGGCATGGGAGGGTGTTTAATTTATGGGATGTCAAACGTCAGCAAGACTTAAATGTGCTTCAGATTTGTAGTCACCCCTCCTGTGCCGTTTCCATACCTCACTAGTCAAGCCCTATCGCATCGGTACAGTACCGATCACTGACGTATGAAGTACTATGTAAGAAGATTTTCTTCGCGAAGGTATTTAAAAAAATGTATGCTCAATGTGGTTAACAATATGGTGTAATTTAGCTTGTCTCAACAGTCGAGCACCATTTTGTTGACAAACGTTAGTGATCGGTACTGCGCCGAAGCCATAGGGCTGACTTCGGTAAAATGATGTGTGACGGTGAGGTGCCAAACTGCGGAAAATGGCGGAGGAAATACATGAATAAGCATGAATTACTTATATTTTGTGTTTCTATTATATTATTCAGGCAGTTAAAAAATACTGCACAGTATTAATTACACCACTGTTTTTACACATAGTTTAATGTCTTTACAATGCAAATGGGTGAAGAATACACGTGGTAGTGCGTGTGTCAATACTCGCTCGTGATTGTCCTGTCGATTATTAGGTACCTCAGGTAGTCGCACGTTTTGTTTTCGATGCAAGCTCGCTGAGAGGCCTGGTAGTACTTAATATTATTCTGTCTGTGATCATATATAGTTCCAGGGCTACTATAAAGTCGATGATTATTTAAAAGATAAAAATTTTTGGGATGCGTAACTGCCTAGCTCGCATAAATATTTATAACTATGTATTTTGAAAACCTGTAAACCTTTGAAAAAGAGGCTGACAATAGTGTCTGAGTTTCTTGCGCTGCTTCTTCTCAGCACTGGCCCATTTATTGTCCTGAAGTAGTGGTAGGGTTAATACTGGGACGTGTAAAAGTGCTTTTTAAAGCCTACTTACAGAAATAAATGAGTGAGTGATGAGTTGAGTTTTACCAGGCGTGTTCATCTCCGCGAGTTTGCATCGAAAACAAAACACGCGCGACTACCCCTCCTGAGATACCAAATCGACAGGACAATCACGAGCGAGTATTGACGCACGCACGTATTCTTCACCCAGTTGCATTGTAAAGACAATAAACCATATGTAAAAACAGTGGTGCAATTAATTATACTCTACAGTATTTTTTAACTGCCTCAATAATATTAGAAACACAAAATATAATTCATGCTTATTCATGTATTTCCTCCGCCATTTTTCGCAGTTTGGCACCTCACGTCACACATCATTTTACCGAAGTCAGCCCTATGTCTTCGGCGCAGTACCGATCACTGAGGTTTGTCAACAAATTGGTGCTCGACTCTTGAGACAAGCTGAATTACACCATATTGTTAACGACATTGAACATACATTTTTTTAAATACTTTCGCGAAGAAAATCTTCTGTACGAAGTACTTATTATTATTCTGTGGTTTTACTGAGTTTACATTGTACTAGACTTACGAATTTGCTCTTGGGAGGCGGCACGGGCTCGCCGCCCGCCTCGGCCTTCATGCGCGCCATCTCTTCCTCTTCTAACTTCTTTTTCTCCTTCTCCGCTTCCTCCCGCGCCTTCAGCTCTTGCTCACGTTCTATAGCCCGTTGTTTCTCGCGCTCCATTTTTTCCAGACCTTAAGAATAAATGAGAGAGTATTACGCCAGTATTCACAAGCGATGCTTGCTTAAATGAAGCAGTGAATCGAACGCACAATGATGAATGNGATGAATAGAGCTCTGCGATTGGTTCGTGTGTCACCCTGTGTAATGTTTGTGAATACGGAAGATTGGTGACGGCAGAGTAGAATACATTTGTCACCAACCCCTACTCTTCCCGCGGGTGTCGTAAGAGGCGACTTAGGGACTACACATCAAACAGAGAATGGGCAGCAGCACTCTCTGAAAAACATCAATCTTTTAAACTGCGATCTCCAACCCGCCTGCCAAGCGTGGAGATTATGGCAAAACCCTCCACTATAGTGGAGGAGGCTCATAGTCCAGCAGTGGACTGTAAAGGGCTGTTGATGATGATGATGACGGAAGATTGAGTAGTAACTACGTAAGTAAGTCATGATAAAATTATATTGAGTGAGACATAGTGAAATTACGCAAGTTTTTCAGACTCCCAGAAAACTTTATGCCCAGATTTGATGGCAAGATTGACTGTAAATGGAGTCGCTGAATAAATACTTTGTGTATTAATAGTAACTTCTTAATTAATTTTATTTAATCAATTAATTCATTTTAATCATTTCAAGTACAGGATCTCTTGCTGAGCATAAGCCTCTAAAAATGATTTCCAGATTGATTGGTTAGTGGCAGTCTGCATCCAGAACTTCCCTACTATAATTAATTATGAGTGTTAGGATGTCCACCATGTAGGAGGACATCCCAACACTGTATTTTTAGATGATTTAACTGAACTTTTGACTGAATCAAATAAATTAGTTCGTATCTACCTTCCCTAATCCATGCAGGTAATTGACGTCGCTTTGCCGCGTCGATGGTTGCTGCTGATGGCATCGCAGTCGGTGCGACAATCGGCTCAATAACGGGCGGTATTACAGGCGCCTTATTTTCTCTGAAAATATTTATTAGAAATTGAATCGGCGGCCATTATATCATGCTGGTTACAGCTCATTAAAGAAGCTCTGGGATCGCTGGCATTATTAATGGATGGAAGCTCTTATTGTGAAGTTATTTGAAGAAATTGACAGATTTTATTTTGCAATATTTTGGTCTAGCTTTTTAGTTTATCTTTCTTCCTTATACCATGGAGACTCAATGGAGTCTATCATCTGCTAAAGTCAAAATTTCTTTATTTGTTTAGACTTATAAATAGGTCTTACAAATCGTCATTTTGCTCTTAAGGAGCCTTTACATGTCTCATAATCTTTTTATCCTGCGCTTCGAGACCAACATTTGGCAAGTGCTGAGAAGAAGCACCGCAACAAACTCACTGCTTACTTAGTCTCATTTGTATGAGATCTGTCTATGTTTGCCAGTAAAGATACTTAGTCTTATCATTCATTGCTTGACTTATAATTACCTAGTCGATCTCGAACTTCTACTAGATTTATGATCTCTATTTCTACTCTTTGAACGACGATCTCTGCTGCGACTACTGCTACGACTGGTGGTACTCTCCGCTTGGGGTGCCGTCCAGTAGCCGTGCTGAAACGTTGGTGCAGGAACCGTACCTGTTGTATAGCTGTAAACAAAAATGTGTAAATATAGTTGGAAAAATACATCTATGAGTGCTTCGTTCGTTCGTTCGTTTCAGCCAAATGATATATAATAAATATAAAGATCAATATAACTATTATGAAAGCAATAAACTAACTGAGTTTTGAGAATTATAATTATGACAGTCTGCTTGTTTGCGCAGCAGTGCCTTTCTTGTTATTAAATGAAAATTCAGAAGCATTTATCAACATGAATAAACAAGAATGTTTATTTTGAGTATATTTTTCTTAGAAAACTCAGTCCTAAAATATATTGTTGATATACGATACCTACCCAGGCATAGCCGCTGCATTATTGGCATCCACGGCATAACCATCTATCATAGGGCCCATGCCCATCGCAGCACCTCCTGCCATCTTATTGTCTCCGGACCACCCCCATCCTAATGATAAATTATTGTTTAATAACAATTTCACAAATTGAGTTTTATTATAAGTAGGTTGTATCTAGGCTAATTTATTAGCTATACTTCAAGGAATAAAAAGGGTCACCACATTAATTTGTCCATTTAAATAAAAGCTGTATTGTTATGTGTTTCTTTAGTGTATTCCAATTTACATAATCAATTTGGTATGCCGGAGGCTAATAAACAATCCAAATAAGCAATGGAATGTTTCATTCTAACCTTGAAGCTATATGCTTTCAATTGATTTGCATATGGCTGGAAGCTCTAATTGTTAGTTAAGTTAGTCGAAAACTTAAACACAGTGCAGATTAAAGAAATATCGTAGTATTTTGGTACANACCAAAATGCTTTCAGGTTATCTTTGTTCCTTACCCCACTGATTCCATCCGCTGCCCCAAGAGTTTGTGTTAGAGTTCCATTCCGCTCCTGAAGGCACTGGGCCGTCTGTGTTCTCAGGATTTTCCACCTCCATGGGGGCTTCGCCCTCTTCCGCGTCAGCCTTGGAAGCGGACTGCTGCGTTGCCGATACGGCGACAATCGCAGCAGCCTCTTTCATAGCGATCCATTGTTGCGCCAAAGCAGCCCAGTCCACTTGGCTAGAGTCTACATTCTGATAAGCATTAGGATTTAGAGCCCACTGCGTGGGATATAAAGGATTTGCGGCATCCTTGCCCGAGAACATGATTGCCACCAATTGTTTATTTACACAAGTCTAACATAAACTTTTAGATTTACACGACATAATCTTTAATTTAATGTCAATAGGAACTTTCTGCACAATCTTTAGCATTTGTTATTTACAGAAATTGCGAAAAATTTCACAGCCGTTTCACTCAGCTCTTTCTTTTTTTTTCAAGAAAGATTATTGTATTGTCTATGATTATTAGACGAGCGAGACTTTCAAAGACAACAAGTTTATGTTTTTATTTAATATTACGTAAAAATTAATTAATGTTTTTATTTTGAATGTCGGTAAAAATAATTAAATTTATCTATAATAATTACATTACATTTCAATTGTTTCGTATTTGTTAAAATAAAAGAGAATTAATAAAATCAAATGAACAGCTTTATCGTGACATCTATTGGTGAGTAGTTGTACTAGAATGAAAGCAGGGTTTCTTGTCAACTAATTTGTCTACTCAACGCTAGATGGCGTTAGTAGGCATACTAACGTTTTACTTTAATATAAATAGATGGCGCTGTGTCAGTTTTCAAATCACTTGTTCCCAATGAATGCAATCTTTTATTCATCATCACACAATGCAGGCAGTAGTAAGATACAATCGAAAGAAATAGGCAACTTTAGGTAGGTAGATAGATATAGGAACAAAAATTAATTCAAACATCTCTACAATAGGAAAAGTACCCCTGCATTAGGTAATTTAATTTTTATTTTTTACTAAAAGCAGACTAAGTGTCATATGACATTTTTTGCCAGTGAACCTCGTCTCACTCCTATTTCAAAGTAGGTACAAAGAATAACTTGATTGTTGATAGATATATAAATGGTTGATGCATGGATTTATTGACTAACTAGCAGCCGCCCGCGACTTCGTACGCGTGGATCGTGGATCCCGTTTTACCCCCTTCATCTATCTTACGCGGTTTAGATTTTTTCATACAAATGTTTTTTCCCGCTAACTCCCGTTCCCGTGGGAATTTCGCAATATCCTGTTGTAACTAAGCTTTAAGTTTACTAAGGTACCTGCATGCCAAATTTCAAGCGTCTAACTTAAGCGGTTTAGATTTTTCATACAAAAGGATTTTCCCGCTAATTCCCGTTCCCGTGGGAATTCCTAAGTATACTATAACCTGCCCAGGAGTATGAAGAATAATTGTACCAAGTTTCGTTAAAATCCGTCGAGCAGTTTTTGTTTCCATAAGGAACATACAGACAGACAAAAATTTTACTGATTGCATTTTTGGCATCAGTATCGATCACTAATCACCCCCTGATAGTTATTTTGAAAATATATTTCATGTACAGAATTGACCTCTCTACAGATTTATTATTAAGTAATAGTAATAGATTATAATTGACATTAAATTTAATTATTTGCTCACTCTGTAACCATTCTTTATAATTTGCACTAGCTTTCCGTCCGCGGCTTTACCCGCATGTAATTTTGTCTGTCACAGAAAAACTTTATCGCGCGCGTCCCTGTTTCAAAAACCGGGATAAAAACTATCCTATGTCCTTTCCCCGGACTTAAACTATATCTAGGTATGCCTAATTTCATCAAAATCGGTTCAGTGGTTCAGGCGTGAAAGCAAGACAGACAGACAGAGTTACTTTCGCATTTATAATATTAATAGATCTCATAGGCTATGACTAAATAGGTCTTAAGTAAAATTATATCAAACAAGAACTACTCTGTAACGGCAACGTCATTACGACGAGAAGAGGTATCGAAATAAAAATCTTGCTTAATTCTTAATACTTTAATTTATTATTTCAATTTCCATACAAAAAGCTCACTCATTCATCATCCATATAATGCATTCGCACAATTAACATAACCTTACACATGCAACACTTATAAAATTAAGTTTAGACAGAGAACTTTTCGTCACGCCTCGACATCGGGCGGCACACGACGTCACACTGCACACTGTTTCCTACTGGTATAAATCACTTACGTAACGCAAGTCTATTTAAATTACACTAACTTTAACTTAACGCTAATAAAGGCTCCTCGGGATCATGTTTTAGGCTGTGGAATTTTGAGTTCTTCTTTTTCCACTGCTCTTTTTTGTTCACCATCTTTTGTTTTGTGGCTTGCAACTTGGCCTTTGTTTTTGATATTTTCGGCGGAGACGGCGTTTTGTCGAGACGTTCTAGCGTCTCAATAATGTTTTTGGGCTCAGACAGTACTTTTCGGGTTTCCTCACTTATTTCGTCAACAGTCGCGTTTTTGTTTGCGTACACGACCACGAAGTGCGAGTAGGCGGAGTTGGAGGGGGCATTGATGTCGGCGAAGTCTCTGAAGTTAGCGAATTGATCCTGGTTGTAGTTGGGCCGAGGGTTAGCGATGTACCCGACTCCGACAGATGGCCGGCCGTGTCCGTTGTTGTAGAAATTGAAGCCATCGCTGTAGTCGTCTTCGTCGTTTTGCGCGAAGAAAGTGCCTCCTTTGATGATGCCGAAGTTTCCTGATCCGAGGACACTGGAGCTGGCGTCAATGAGAGGCGCTGCGGCGGGCGTGCTCTGTTTCCCGAAGCCCTCAAAATTATTTCTGTAGTTTCCAAAGAGAGGGTAGTTTAGTAGAGAGCGGTAGGAGTTTGGTCTTTGGCTGTAGGCGCCCTCGTCTCCGAAGCCGCCAAATCTGAAGTTGTTCTGTTGCCGAGGCTCGAAGAGGTTGGCAAAGGTGGGGAAGAAGGTTTGGGAGCCGCCCACCAGCTCGATGGAGTGGTCGGCCTGGTCCTGGCCGGCCGTCGCGGCGGCCTCGGGCTCCTGGACGCCTGCTCGGAGTGACGAAGGTGCCGCCACTGCTTCTGATATGATTTCTGACGATTCTGCATTGAGATCTCCCGAGTCATCTGAAACAAGGAGAAAAACCAATCAGAACAGATAAATATCTATAAATTCATAGAAGTGTTTTGTTAGATTCGTTTCGTGTATTCGTAGACGGTTACATCAGTCATGTCTACCTAAAATTTACTGAGGTATTAAGTCATAAAAATTTTGCAAGGCAATATGATACCCAAATATGTATTTTGGAAGGGTACCTAACCTTAAACACGGTTTGTAATTTCATCCGCAGAACAATGCCACCGCTTGCTACCGCATTATGCATTATATTCATGGAATCCAGCTCTTCCTAGCGATTGGGCGTTGCCTTCTGACGTTAGACATAAGAATGGTTTTTGAAATAAAGGTGAACACACAGAAGCTTTGTTATGGCAGATGATGACGTAAGTAAGGCGTCCTTAGAAAGCTCACTACCGTGCGTAGTGTGCTACATATTTCCTGGTTGAATTAATAACAGAATATTTACTAACAACAGTGGTTACAGGCTTTATTAGTACATACAGCCTAGTACTTTATTTTCGATGTTTTGAGATTGTATTGTGTTAAATCCTCATCCAATGTATTTCCTTGGCATTGATCCCTTACCTACTTCAAAGTAGCATAGTAGCCAAACCAGTATAAGAAGCTAGATTATCTAGTGTTCTATTAATAGTATCGACAAGTAATAATTAAGTAATGCTTTTGTAAGTAATACTTATTTCAATTTCAGAAACATCTCTTGCATTTTAGAAATCTACGACATCGTTAGTGTTGTAACACTCTGTTGTTCTAAATACGATGACGTTACATTAAGAAACGCAATAAGATCTAGGATATAAAATAAAATGCGCCAATATTAAGTGTAATGTAATGTAAACAAGGCGGATTACATTTATTAAGTCACTTTGCGGTTGACCGAGACTCGTAATACGATTGCAAGTAGGAAACTGGATACATTCCACTATAGATTTCCTCTACAACAAATTATAAAACTAGCACTGCTTGCTTCTGCTCAGTCTCGAATCGAAAAAATGTGTCTAATATTTTTGTAGTTGTTGCGTAAATTCTGGGCGAAATCAATATCTTTTGCCACAAAGCGTACCTACCTAATAAGAAAATACAAAAGTGAAGACACGAACATTTTTCAGTACTTTGTTTTTTTAACAAAAATTTAATTGCCTGTCAATCGGAGTAAAATAGGTTGTTTTCATCTATATTTATAAAAGCGAAAGGTCACTGATTTACTGACTGACTGACTCACTCACTCATCACGAAATCTCTGAAACTACAAGTGCTAGGAGTCTCAAAATTTGCATGGGGGTTCCTTTTAGAACATAGGTGTTAACTAAGAACGGATTTTACGAAACTCCACCCCTAAGAGGGTAAAACGGGAGCCACCCGTACGAAGTCGCGGGCGGCCGCTAGTAATTTATAAATCCTTTACTAATGGGATGGCGAAGACCAGTTCAGGTAAGTAAGAGGTACGTTACGTAGGTGCTTATCCTTACGATGTCAAAGTTATTAAATAATTTTCTAGTTATGCTATGTAGTAACGCATTAGTGCTATTTCTCATTAGCGTTGGTTCTGAAGTTATTACGTATGAGAAAAGGCGGTAGTTATCTCCGAGGTAGGTACGCTCACAAGTCGTTCAAAACCCCGCGTTTTCCGCACTACCAGTCCGACTGGACCATAGAGAAACGCATTATTATGTCATACGAGCACTGGCCACTTGCCCATTTGTGGTTTGTGGTCTCTATGCATTTGTTTTTAAAAGGATACAAGCATATATCGAATTTCGAATTGCTTTTTGAGACGAATTACGCAAACGCTTTTAGTTTGCGGTCCTACCTAGTTTCAATTTCGAATTCGAATGTACGAGGTTGGTATGAATATTTTTTTCTTACACTACTAACGGCAGCAGTTAAGCAGTAGTTTCCATTTAAAAATGATTTCCTAACAATATTTTGCATTGAGTCAATGCTGTGGTGTCAAATTAGGAGCATCGATGATTAAATGTTGCATGTTCGAGTTTAATGGCAATAATAACCATAATAGTAATTTGCTAGTAACCTCTAACCTCCGACCTCAAATCGGGTTTAAATTTACATTTTTCATCGGAAAACCGTTGTGTTTCAAAACTGACCGACTAAGGCTGGGGTCAGGAGAAAGTTGGGGTTAGGCTGGTTGCACACAAACGACAGTAGTATCGCATTTGATCATGTAATGATGCGCAATAACTAAGGCTCATGATTACACCCGAAACTTCCTTGTCTCGACGAAGGTAATGCACGATTGGAGTCAAGGGGTATTGTTGAGTAATCACGTCCAATTAAATGTGAGAGACGAATTTATGAAGGGTCAGAGGCTTGTTGCCTTCTCCGGGTTATGTTTATGCCAAAAAGCCTGCTGCTTGTATTACCTCACATTAGCCATGAAAGATTAAGCGAAAGCTAGATTTCACCAAACAAGTCTACTTTATTTGGTAATATGATTACTTACTGGTATTGTCAACAAGATTTTATCTAGTTATTATTATAATACTCCGTATAAGACAATGGCTACGGTAAGTCATATTGTGTTACAACTCTTTGTTTAAAAAACTTGTAATTTTATTGTTTGAAAATTGAGCAGAAAGCGTTGAATATTAACTTTATTCATTTAGTTTAAACAGTTTCGTGTTAATTTTAGACATTTTAGTCTCTGTTATGTTACAGAATCATTACAATTAGCAATTAGGTAGAAGTTAACTATGTATAGCCTGACCAGGAACATAAAAACCCTGGGATAGAGGCGCGTCAATTGCATTTGATAGTGCAACACTGAGTACAGTCGTACCTGTGTTAAATTAATAGGCTAACTTTATGTATCAGGATTCAGGATTACGGGCTAATTTGATATTTTCATAAATTAACGAAAAAATATTATTATAGGTAACCTGGCTTAAATAAATTAAATGAAACCATCAATCGAGCTAGTAGGATTTATTTTATTATTCATCAATAATCAAATTCAGAACTTGAATATTCAACTGCAATGTTTGCTCATGAACGCTTCAAAGTCGGTACTTCTTTCCCAATTCCATAAAATTAAACACTTAGAAAGTGACATAAAATTTTAAAATAGGTAGTTGAAACAAACCACAGTTAATTTTCATAGTGGACTGTACTATGCGATAAACATGTCAGTCAATTGGACAACCTTTGTCGGAAACATTATTCAATGAAAATATTGTCCGAACCCTTAGTATTTCTCTTCCACAAATACTTTAACACATTGTAAACCACTTTTCTTTCACGACTATAAAAAGATTTTAAAATTTAATTCACAAAATCAATTGCGCACATTTAAAATAAAGTTTGTTTACACTTTGACAGCAATAGACTGACATGCAAGGTGACATGACAATGAAGTTTTCAGTTACTGTTGCCATTAAAAGAAATTAGTACCATTAGTTTTCCGCAACATGGCGAGGGTTTTTATGTTCCTGGTAAGGCTATAATCGTTTAATAATTGCTTTTTTGCGTAGCACAATACTAAAAGTTGAGTTAACAAAAACCGTACTACGTATTTTGACTACGATGAAAAGTTTATTTTCTTTTTGTAGAGTTAGAGCGGGTAGAGTTAGAAGCTATAAGCTCTACATGAGATCTATAACTTTTCACTTCGAGCCATATGGTCTCATCTTGGAAATGTTTTAACCAACTTCATAATAAAAATGTAATAAAATCGTAGTGAAACGTAAACGTTAATTAATATTGCTTATTTCACATCGAGGAAGCCTCTCGCCAGATAAGAAGCTTAAAAACTTGACAGCTATGACGCCACAGATGAGCTTTTTTGTCAGGACTGAAAACAAATGAATCTACACAATGTGCATAACATTCGGCGAGTTTGGTAACCCACTATCTGTCACCGTCAGCACCAGCGTCTATCTGGGCCGGAATTATTACCCGTCGAAGGCTGACATAACCCACTGTGGTTTATGAGTAAAAAGCGAAACGCACTTCGACAATGATAATCAGTATAATCTCTTACGATATTACCTATGGTTTATTCATTATCGTGAGTAATTTAAGGCTATAGAGGAAATTACAGAAAGGTGCTTCAAAATCCAGGACTTGGCATTGTTATTCGGGCACGTTTTAAAAGGCATCGTGAAATATTTTTAATGTTAAAGAAAAAAGAAGAAACGCGTAAACATCATGAGAGCGTGTGTAAAGGATATAGAGTCTTTGTCACTCTATTAAATTATTTAATTTGGTTTGATTATTTGGTGAACTCTATTTATCTTTACATTGCCTGAAATCGAGATTGCTACATAGGTACTGCTATATTTGCATGCATTACCTAATGAACACCATTTACTCAGACCAGAAACGTTAGTGGTAAAGCAATTAGCATTATTAAAGCAATTTAAGTGAATATTATATTATAATTATGGTATCCTTTGACCTCTTGATAGTAATCATAATATAAATTACAACAAGGAACTCGACTTACTATATTCTAATTAGCACAAATATGATATTCATAGCTTAAAGGATTTATTTATGTAGTATAATCTGGACAATTTTAGCATCTAATATAATAAAATTATTTAGGATCTACCTGTGCCATTTCATAGATCAAATACATTTTAACTTAACCTGGGAATCTTCAGGATTGTGATTTACTCGTATTGAGACGTCCCCAATACGAGTACCTATGTAAAGCTATTATAAAAATCAAGAAACTTAAATCTAAATCAACAAATAACGTAACCACCACTAGTGCAGAGTCACTATTGTACCTATTTAATCGGATCGACAAAAAACTTAAGAGTCTCATAACTACAATTTCTTACTAGGAAAGCTCAAGTATCAGCTGAAACTGTTTTCAGGTCAAGAATATTGTAGCACTAGATAAGTATTATGACTATTAGTATTATGATGGGCAGAGAGAAAGAAGTTGCTTCGGTTACACTCCACTAACGTATTCATATGCATTACAAACTATTTTAGCATTTTATAATAAATGCATAAGGTACTA